ATCACTGTCAGTAACACTGGTGGATACATCACAGTCAGTAACACTGGTGAGTTCATCACTGTCAGTAACACTGGTTGGTACATCACAGTCAGTAACACAACTGGGTACATCACAGTCAGTAACACTGGTGGATACATCACAGTCAGTAACACTGGTGAGTTCATCACTGTCAGTAACACTGGTTGGTACAACACTGTCAGTAACACAAGTGGATACATCACTGTCAGTAACACTGGTGGATACATCACAGTCAGTAACACTGGTGGGTACATCACTGTCAGTAACACTGGTGGGTACATCACAGTCAGAAACACTGGTGGATACATCACAGTCAGTAGTACTGGTTGATACATCACAGCCTGTAACACTATACTGGTGGATAAAAAACTGTCAGTAACACTGGTGGATACAGCACAGTCAGTAACTGTAGTGGGCACATCATAGTCAGTAACACAACTTGGTACATCACTGTCAGAAACACTGGTGGATACATCACTGTCAGTCACACAAGTGGGTACAACACTGTCTGTAACACAAGTGGGTACAACACTGTATCACAGTCAATAACACTGGTGGATACATCACAGTCAGTAACCCTGGTGGATACATCACAGTCAGTAGCACTGGTTGATACATCACAGCCTGTAACCCTATACTGGTGGATAAAACACTGTCAGTAACACTGGTGGACACATCACAGTCAGTAACACTGCTGGATACATCACTGTCAATCACAGTTAGTAACACACGTGGACACATCACTGTCAGTAACACTGGTGGATACATCACATTCAGTAACACTGCTGGATACATCACTGTCAGTAACACACGTGGACACATCACTGTCAGTAACACTGGTGGATACATCACTGTCAATCACTGTCAGTAACACTGGTGGGTACATCACAGTCCGTAGCACTGGTTGATACATCACAGTCCGTAGCACTGGTTGATACATCACAGTCCGTAGCACTGGTTGATACATCACAGTCCGTAGCACTGGTTGATACATCACAGTCCGTAGCACTGGTTGATACATCACAGCCTGTAACACTATACTGGTGGATAAAAAACTGTCAGTAACACTGGTGGATACAGCACAGTCAGTAACTGTAGCGGGCACATCATAGTCAGTAACACAACTTGGTACATCACTGTCAGTAACACACGTGGACACATCACTGTCAGTAACACTGGTGGATACATCACTGTCAGTAACTCTGCTGGATACATCACAGTCAGTAACACTGGTGGATACATCACAGTCAGTGGTACAACACTGTCTGTAACACAAGTGGGTACAACACTGTCAGAGTCAGTTACACTGGTGGATACATCACAGTCAGTAACACTGGTGAGTTCATCACTGTCAATAGCACTGGTGGATACATATCATAGTCAGTAACACAACTTGGTACATCACTGTCAGTAACACACGTGGACACATCACTGTCAGTAACTCTGCTGGATACATCACAGTCAGTAACACTGGTGGATACATCACTGTTAGTAACAAAAGTGGATACATCACAGTCAAAGTGGATACATCACTGTCAGTAACACTGGTGGATACATCACTGTCAATCACTGTCAGTAACACTGGTGGGTACATCACTGTCAGTAACACTGGTGGATACATCACATTCAGTAACACTGCTGGATACATCACTGTCAGTAACACACGTGGACACATCACTGTCAGTAACTCTGCTGGATACATCACTGTCAGTAACACTGGTGGATACATCACTGTCAATCACTGTCAGTAACACTGGTGGGTACATCACTGTCAGTAACACTGGTGGATACATCACTGTCAATCACTGTCAGTAACACTGGTGGGTACATCACTGTCAGTAACACTGGTGGATACATCACTGTCAGTCACACCAGTGGGTACAACACTGTCTGTAACACAAGTGAGTACAACACTGTCAGTAACACAAGTGGATACAACCCTTTCAGTAACACTGGTGGGTAAATCACTGTCACTAACACTGGTGGATACATCACAGTCAGTAACCCTGGTGGATACATCACAGTCAGTAGCACTGGTTGATACATCACAGCCTGTAACCCTATACTGGTGGATAAAACACTGTCAGTAACACTGGTGGATACACCACAGTCAGTGGATACCTCACAGTCAGTAACACTGGTGGGTACATCACAGTCAGTAACACTGGTGGGTAAATCACTGTCAGTAACACTGGTGGGTAAATCACTGTCAGTAACACTGGTGGGTAAATCACTGTCAGTAACACTGGTGGGTAAATCACTGTCAGTAACACTGGTGGGTAAATCACTGTCAGTAACACTGGTGGATACATAACAGTCAGTAACACTGGTGAGTTCATCACTGTCAGTAACACTGGTGGATACATCACTGTCAGTAACACTGGTGGGTACATCACAGTCCGTAGCACTGGTTGATACATCACAGCCTGTAACACTATACTGGTGGATAAAACACTGTCAGTAACACTGGTGGATACAGCACAGTCAGTAACTGTAGTCGGTACATCATAGTCAGTAACACTGGTGGGTACATCAAAGTCAGTAACACAACTTGGTACATCACTGTCAGTAACACTGGTGGATACATCACTGTCAGTAACATTAGTGGATACATCACTGTCAGTAACACTGGTGGATACATAGGTTACATCACAGTCAGTAACACAATCACTGTCAGTAACATTAGTGGATACATCACTGTCAGTAACACTGGTGAGTTCATCACTGTCAGTAACCCTAGAGGTTACATCACAGTCAGTAACACAACTGGGTACATCACTGTCAGTAACACTGGTGGCTACATCACAGTCAGTAACACTGGTGGATACATCACTGTCAGTCAC